GGTAAATATATAAGCCCGGTGATTGCAGGAAAATATTGTGCTTATCTGATGAATCATACCGTTTCCCATTCAGAAAATTAGTTTAAAGAATTCGCGTATAAATTATTTTCGTAGCAATTTCAAACCAGCATGCATTGGAGAAAATGTGTTACTGGACAATGAGAATGTTACCGCTGTTGGATACGGTCACACGATTTTCGGTAAGTTAGAAAAATATAAATTCGAATACATGAAACTGAAATTCCACGCAAGTTTATACATCGAGAAATGTAATCGACTTTTTTTAATCCTCTTTTTGATGCCGAAATGCTCCTAGAGTAACCAGGAATATTTATAGAGAATTATGAAAAAATTTCGCTTACATTTGTTGGCGGATAGGGCTCAATGTAAACAGCGGAAATTTCCAAGGAAAAGCCTGTATCCCAATGCTGACAATTTAAACCCTCCTTAAACTAATTTTAAAGGCATTTTGAATTGAAGAGAAAATTAAAGTACTATTTTTGAAAATAGTGAACTGTTGGTCACCGTAGGTGCAAAATTTGAGTATCTTAAATTTGTTTTTCTACTTCAAGGTGGCAGATCGTCCGACGAACTTTTGAAAGCCTACCTGATTGTCGTAGGCAATGAAGTGTGCCAAACACATTACAGAGACACTAATTTATTACCACTCGGTTTAATGGATATACAGCTATGTGCACAAGATAGGCAATTTGGACATGACACCTGTCAAGTAAGTTAAAATGTTTAGGCCACATTAATTTTTTAATGCACGCATTTTCTGCATGTTTTCTTTCAACACAGGGTGATTCCGGTGGCCCATTGATATTAAAAATCAGGCATGTGCCTTATGTGATTGGTGTGACATCGTTTGGACTCGGCTGTGCAACTGAAGCCCCAGGCGTTTATACAAGAGCATCAAAGTATCTTGATTGGATTGAAGCGCATGTGTGGCCAAAATGAAAACTGAAGCTGCACCTAAATGAGATTTACATATTTCACCTCACAAATATTATACCTGTTTAAAATTTAAACTACTCTTAAGGATATATGTACCTATTTTATTATATTGATATCAAATGATACATGTACTCGTACATTAGAGTGCATCACCAAAGAAAAGGTGTGTTTTTTTCATCAGAATTTAGAAATCCAATATACATGTATATAAAAATCTCGTGTCATGGTATTTGTGATCGCACTTCCCCGAAACATATCGAGCGATTTTTAAGGCAATTAGTAATTAGTATGTATTTATCGCAATATGGATGTCAGACTACTGAGGTTTAAGAAGGGTTTAATTTTAAATTAATATGAAGAGATTTGCCACCTGTCTGAAATTTGGGATTAAATTAAATTATGTGAAGCTAAGTGAAACTATAAAATATGGGTATCAAACGAAAGTACTAAGAAATCTTTAGCTCGAACATTCATTGAAGTATTTTAAAAGGGTTGCCATCTGTTGGAAAAGTTAAATTGAAATTATTAGCTAATTTAAATGAATTATATACTAAAAAATGGGTATCAATCCAAATTTATTCGACAAGGATATATATCTGAACTGTATTTAATAGTGTTGCCATTTGTATAAAAAATTTAATTCAATACACTTACTTCATCAGTTATTTGAAATGCATGCGTGTCACAATGACAGTCGAAAGTGGTTAAAAATATTTCAGTTTGAAAATACTTTTGAAGAGGGTTGCCAGCTGTTTCAAAAGTCGAATTTTTTTTAGCTTATACTCACACTGAAAATATGTTTGATTAGGATTGGTACCTTTTCGAAAAGTAATGTCTATCTAACTACGTACCATGTATATATACATTAGGGTGATCCAAAAATGCATGTGAAAAAGTAAAGTCGGAATTTTTTTGCTCTCAACCAATACGATTTTTCTATACCGCAAATAATATAGCCCTATTTTTTTTATTTTGAAATCAAAAAATATAGTCGCTCAAAGCGCCCAAAGTTTTCCATGTATTTTATATGGGGGAAAAAACAACTTTTCATATAAATGGTATAGAATTCTTGAAAATCAATAATTTTCCAGCGGAAAACTCTGTTGAAGTTCAATTGCTGTGCAACTTCGTCTCTTGGTGGTGCAGTTATGTCTGCGGTGTGGGTTATTGTATCTGTGGTGTATTCCATTTTGTTATGTTGTAGTACGGTCGTTTTTGTGTTGAGCTGCTCAGGCGGACTCGGGTGTACCGTGGAGTCAGCTCTATTTGAGCAGCAAGGAGCAACGCATGACGTTACAGGTGTTACACCTGACTGCGGTGGAGTTAGGGTGTTGACACCTCAGGCACACGCGGCAAGTATAGGCTACTTGTGTGTAAGCATGGTCCCTTTGTCTTCCTCTCTGGGTTCTTTTACATACTGGTGTTGATTTTATTCGGAAAGTATGATGTGAAGGAATACTTTTCGGGCGCTCATTACAATTACGTATTCGTTTTTAAATTGTAATGCACATAGTTAGCAGACTGTCTACAATGTGTATCACAATTTTAAATTCACCGACGATGTTTTAATCAAGTACACTGCCCAACAACCAATCCAATAACTTTAAGGTCGGATTCGGATTTTACGGGAAAAATTCTATAAGAATCGGCTATAATATTTTAGTCAACATGACATTGATGAAATTTCGTTGGCCTGTGTTGTCAATCAATGTGTATTGTGGACGGACGTCACTTAACCGTGCGCCGCTGGGGATTTAAGCGTTGCTTATAGTAAATCTGAATGCCTCTCATCGTTCTATTTATCAACCAATATACCTTGTTGTGTATTTGTAAAAAATTTAATAATAACTTAAGAAATTTATTACAAACTACTCAAATAATAGTGTCTACTGGCTTCATTTCTTCAAAAATGGTTGCCAATTTAAAGATTTCTTGAAATTATATTTTTTTTGTAATTAACAAACCAAAGCGCATATGTGTCATATTTGCGTGATATTTCTACCAATTAGTATGCAAAAAATTAACCATTTAAACCGAACCGAATCAAACCGTTGCTCAGAGGTACTCATGGGCCGGTTTTTGCATCTGCAGAAGTTTGTTCTAAGATGTTCGAACCGCTGAACCGAAACGCATCGATTTTCGGTGCAATCTGCAGCTCCAGTGTAAATCAAAGCGTAATCCGGGTTTGTTAAATATTCGAAGTGCGATGACACCCCTCCGTCCAACAGCTAGTAAAATATGTTTATATGAAATATGCATAGCTTTGCACCAAATTCCACCATAGGTTTCATTACATACATACAAAAGAGCAACATAAAATCCACTGCCACCACTGCTAATTAGTATATGGATGCGTGACAGGGCGTATGCGTGACATTTTATTTATTTACTCATATGAAGCTTATAAACATAAATCCTAGAGTTTAATGGCAGCATACATAAGCCTGTAATCAAGAAAAATTATTATAAACCTACAAAAAACAAGCATGTGAGCTCAACTCTGAAGTTTCAAGTTGCAGCACTGAAAGTTTAAAACGATAAATTGTGAGCCTACGGTCTCCAACCGCAACTAAGTATGCAAAGCATAAAAAAGGGCTATTTTATAATATTTAGTTATTCGAGCGTAAGAGATTGCGCGTGAATGAAATACTATAATTTTTTTCATCACATAATACACTATACCCTGTGGCCTCTATAATTTCGCACTTTAACACTTGCCTGCACTAAAATCATTTAAACACTGTTCTTTGTTTACGGTTTACCCCATGTAAAATTGATTATCGTTTCATTACCTTTGGCATTTTTTGCGTGTGACGTACCATGCGTTGCATGTTTGATGTGGTTTACGTTGCATGTTGCCTTGCAATGCTAACACACATCGCACGCCCTTTCTCAATTTATTCTACATTTTTAATAGCCACTTTCAGCATTTTTACTATATAATTTTGCATTTTGTACGAGTTAAGCGAGTCCAACTATTTCACAAGTAGGATTTATTATTTTCTGAGGGAAAAGTTTAAGCGGTAATTAAAACGAATTTATGGCTTCATATATGACACCTCGTTTTATGCTGAAAAGTAAAATCAATGCCAGGGAGGGAGATTATGAATGTAAGAATTGAGTCCATATTTGTGTGAAACAGAATTCCAAATACATATACACACATTTAGTTATAAGTTTAACTCTTTTGAAATACTATGATTTAGTCAGATATTCACTACTATCGAAATTCACAGTTGACCTTCGCAGTTTTTGTAAGCTCAGGCTCTTAAGGAATGTGAAAACCAATCATACGTACGCACCAACAAAAAATTTTTGCACATTTTAAAAGGTAAAAATGCCTTAGTAGGTATTTATTTATTGCAAAAGTATTTTTTGCAAAAGTACCAAAACATTTCTGAAAAATTCCGTGAGGTGCAAAGAAATGCCGAAAGACCACTAATCATTTCATTCTTTTATCAAAATCCAAAAAATTAAAACAAAAAAAATCACACTGGGAAACCCCGTTTTTTAAATAGAAGAAGCTCCAGTGGGGTCACTCAGACTTATTAGGCTTAAGGCTTGACTGATTTCAACAGCATCTATTCACCAGCGGGCCGGCTTTAAGTGGACATCTGTCTTGAACCAAGCGGGTACTAGATATATAAATGTACATCCTTTTAAAAACAAAACCCCTCAATGAATGGCGCGCAGGGCTAAAAATTCACCAAGTAAAAATCTCTACCAATGAAGGCTGAAACATTACCTCGGATTTCTGGTTCCTCATAGAGACCAAATCTGATATTTACGCCATCAAAAAGAATGCGCAGCAATAAGACACAAGGCAAAACTCGGACAAGTTTCTTGCTAGAATACAAATTCTATGAGCGCTTGGAGCGCACCTACTAGTGCTGCTATTAAATTGTATTAAATTTGTACGACTTCAATGGCAGCGTGGCATTCTGACCGACAGAAAATGTTGCCTCCACGAAAAAGCGTTCGATAACCAACTGGGGTTGATCGACTTTGCCGAGATCTGAAACATGGATGGCAGCCCCAGTAGGGGCTCACTTAGTCATTTATTTAATTGTCCATTGGTTACCACATTATAAAACTCCTCGCAGGGTAAAACAAAGTTCCGCAGGCAGCTGATGTCCATGCCCGAGAGTTCCTCGGGAGTGTTGATGAATGCCGGGCAACTGAAAAGGAAAGGCTGAGATGATTCCCTCTTTGTTCGAGGTGTTGGATTCGTGAGTAGCCTGCCTAACACTTTTGCATTAAAAAGCCACTTAAACCTTTTTACTCGAACATCAATATTAAAACGATCACGCGCAAGAACTTGACTCAGTCAACGCGCACAAGGGAATCAGGATTTATAGAAAGCCCATAGCTAGTTGACCAATTTCCAACCACTATCTCCTTGCAACCAAAATATGCACATGCCTCTGTGCAGCAAAAAGTATGCATCCAACAATGCAATGAAAGCAGATATACCTCGACTTTCATACATACTCTTTAAGAGCGCTCTTGAAGAGTGGAACCACATATTCCGCTTACTACATACCGGCGCCATTAAAGTAGTTGGATTTCAGAGGGCCCGAAAGAACAACTGATGCAAAGAAAAACGCAACTGCATATAGCGCCATGCTGCAGAAGAAAGCGAGACGTATTTTCGAAATAAAGAAGGAGGAAATCTCACGTGGAACAAAAATTGGAAATCGAGTTAGCTTTTTAGCGCATGAGACATTTTTGCCAAAAAATTGCCGGCGTGCTTGAATATTAGGTTAGCCTGTACGGCTTTAATTCAATCATAACTGACAACAAATTATACTTCCGAAGCTTTAATGCTTACCAAACGCATTCCAAGAAATCGACAATGACAAAACGAATGACGCCCACACTTCCAAAGGTACTTTGGTGGTGCGAGTATCAGTGATAGCTAAATACATATTTATATGGGCATTAAGTGAACGCAGATGCTACGTATGTAAATGAAATACTAATACAAAGTTCTTAGAATTAGCGATAGACTAATAGCGCACCACACGCTTTCTAACTGCTAATCGTGTGCATTGACTAG